TTCAATTTTGTGTTATCTTTTTTCATATATGGTTCAGGGAATTACTCCCTCAACCATCAACTTTAAAAGTAACTTTTTCCCCGACTTCGTCCAATTCCAATCAAACTCTATAAGAAAGTTATGTCCATCTCTACGGAGATTATAATATAATATAATACCATGATTGTAAGAGACAATTGGCCCCAAAAGAGAGAAAAATAAATAAAGAATCTAAGTAAACTTACGAATGTTTCTTCTTTCTCGTTTCTCTTTTTTTGTCAAATTAAATGTTCAAATATATTTAGTAATTATTTATGTTTCTTGAGTTTGATAATTATTTTTTGTGTTTTGCTTTTTAGTTGAAATAAAGTTGAGTAGATATAATATAAAAAACTATATGATGTAACTTAAAACAATTATAAGACGGTTATAACAAGTTTGTGATATATAATACCATTCAAGTAACGAAACAAAATTGATAACAATTATAAAAAAAATGCACATGCTTTTTGTTAGCCAATCAATCCAAGCTATTAAATTTCCATTAGCATGTCGATGTTTTCATTGACATACATATCAATGAATCAACTTTCGATTATGTTGTAAAAAAAATCAAGAAAATATATTGTGGAGGTAATGTCTCACTGACCACGTGGAGTCTTAGATACGCTGAAAAGGACTTGTGGCATTAGATGTTAATATGCCGAACTGATTCAGTTTGGTCCCCTATGCGAGTCGGCCGAGCTGACCTTATCTTCCACACGTTGGCCATTCGAGCTGACGAAAGGACACTTCGTCAAGATTGCCTTTATGACATATTCCACGACATTGCACCGTCATTTTCAGAACCTTAAAAAGTCGTTAGAGCTCTGTCGTAAGCCTTGTCGGAAGCTCCACTTATAAGTAGAAATTTGCCGCTTCATTCCTAGGTACGCTAAACTATATTCTCTCTCAAATATAGCTCGGTCATTCACTGACTTAGGCGTCAGAGTGATTTGTTTCCTGTTCATCATACTTCCAGCTCGACTGTTAAGTCATCTTCTATCTGAGTCGAGGTTTGCGGACTTGGTCAGATTCTTGATCAAACAATATACAAATTTTTTTTTTTTTTGATAAAGTATGGTGAATGTGGACATAATATTAATAATAAGAACTTTAAACTCATTAAAATTTATACTTATATGTCTATAATAGTTTATCGATATTTTCATTGACATTGATTTCAAAATTTGTATCACCATCAAGAAAAAGAAGAATACTAAATATTGAGACAACCAAAGAGATAGAACAACCTTGACAATTATTTGTGTACTTTTCTAAAATTTTTTTGTTCTCTAAAAATGAAATACAATAACAAAAAATGAGAAACGAAAAAGGAAAAGTTACCTAAAGAAGAAAAGAAAGAAAGAAGGCGGCTGCGGGCGCTTGATTCGTAAGCCATGAGGGTTCCAATTAAGGACTTAGTTTTCAACATGTAGGCCCAATTCAATTCCATAATAAATGTGGAAAATTTTGGTAACACTTTGTATAAGAAATAGAGAAGAAGCAGAGGAAAATTTTGGGTTTTCTTTTCTCTCTGTTTTGTGGACTTGAATTTCGCCGACAAAAGGGTCTAAGTTCAGTCTGACACAATCTAACGGATAGATCACGTTTCTGTTTGGGGAATTGTGAGATTATTTGAATTCAAACATTAACAAAAGAAGGTTCAAGGAAAGTGGAACGTGGCATCTTTATCTAACCCTTTGGCATTATCTTCCTATAAATTATCATATTTAATTTTGCCCTTCTTAAAAATATAAATATTATCCCATCAACTTATTTTTCTTTGTTTTCTTTACGAAAGCGTATGTGTGAACAATAATATAAAGAGAAATGAGGAAGAGAATAGGAAGAATTGAGAACACTTAGCTTCCCCATGGTCTTTAAAAAATATATATTTCTTTTTTGTCATGTCTATATCTAATTAATGATACGATGTTTAGGGGTGTGTGTCACTTATTGATTAATCTTGGAAGACAAGTCTTCCATTTTAGTTGATAACGGACCTATACGAATATCTAGCTTAACTATTATTTCAAAAGGGTTACAAGTTCCTTATGCATATCGATAGTATCAAGGATGGATATACGAAGAGTCGAGGGAGGGCTCGACCCCCGAACTTTAATACTATAGGATCCGAATATACAAATGGATTAATGTTCATGAAATTTACCTTACTTCTGTGGCACCTCTCACACCTTTGAGCCCGTGTTCGAGCATCCATCTCTGGGTTTTTGACTTGCCTCACCTCACTATCCCTCATCACCTGTGCTTTTCGTATAATTTTTTCTATTCAATTTTTTCGTAAGTTTTATAAAAGAAAACAATTTTCGTCAATTTTATTTTTCAAAACAGAAAATAAATCATCAATTAGGTCAATTTTTAAAAAATGAATTACAAATGAGAAATTATAAATTTTTCTATATTAATATGTTAATTTTTTTTGGACAATTAAATATGTCAATTTATATATATATATGTAAAGGTTGATGGGACCTTTATGGTCTAATTATGGCTAGCAATTCCAAAGCTTATTTTTGTTTTTAATTTATACATTGTTATTATAGGTAATATTTCTTCTATAAATTCATGTATTGATATTTTATATAAGTTTTAATTTCAATTTTGTATAATCTAAAAATTCAACAATTTGAAAATTAATTGTCTAAGGTATATTTTTATTAACTTCACATTGTATATACTATGAGTTTGACTCTTTGAGGTTATTTATTATTATTTTTTGACAAAATAGCAAAAACGGAAAAGAAAGAAAAAAAAAAAAAAGTAACACTATGACAGCTTCATCTCTTCCACCCAAACTGATTGCAGGGAAAGGGGGAAGTATTCAAGCCACACGCTTATGAAAATCCACGGCATATTTGGCTAGTTCATGGGCAAACTTGTTGCAAGAATGGGGACAACCAAAAAATCGCACAAAATGCAGACTAGATCCCTAATTTCATCAACAATCATCCCCAATTCTCCCGTCTGAGGACTATTTGAAGTTATTTTAAACATAATAGTTAGTGAAATCGAAACTAAACTAATTTTACTTATTGTTTTATCTTTTAATTTTTAATTTTATTTTTATTAATGTTCTTGTAGATTTAATTTCAAATCTAAATTGAGAGATACTATTAAAAAAAGCGATGAAGCCATCAACAAGTAATAATAGTTCTTATAGATATTTTACATAATAACTTTAGAAAATTTATTGGCATATCTTGATTTAAAAGCTAAAATTGTTATTATAATTGTAATATTCGAGACTAAGTTCGTAAAACATATTTACGAAAATGATCTTGTTAGCTTTATAAATTCTTTATATGAAGTCTCCTCAACAAAATTTCTAGATCTGTCACAGAATATCATCATACTTGGCTCATTCTATCTTTAAAGAATTTATGCATCCACCCGATTTGAGAAAGTAAATGTCTGACTTACCCCTTCAAGTGATTTCCAAGAGAAAACATTATTATAAATAATTCAACAAATAAATGGCATGAAACACAATGGACATATGTTTTATGTTTTCCAAATATATTTTGTCCCTCTAGATTTTTTTTATATGCAAATGAAATCCAAAGATGCCATTACAAAAATAGCACAATAAAAAATACTTGGTTGCTAGTGCTCTATTTAATTTTTTTTTTAAATAATACAATAGGAAATAAACCATAATATCTCCCATGTCATGTTTGGAAAATCATACAGTATGCCATTTATTTAAAAAAATATAAAAACGTTATAACATTAATTCATTGTTTTGAGTAAAATATTTTGAAACCAAAGTAGGAAAAAGATTGTTCCCTTTTGTTGTTATGGATTAATTTATGACTATACAAATCAATTGAATCTTTTTTACGCATGCTGAATGCTTATGGAACAACTTTGAAAATCAAAAATCTTTTCTCTATAACGTTTCTTTTAACAATTTAAAGATATTATTATGTCTGAAAACAACGCAATTTCTTAAAAAAATAAAATATTAGAGAATCATCTTCTTTCACAAGAAACCAAAGTCATAGATATATGAATTATCTACGACTAAACCCTATAATTTCTCGTGATAATAACTACAAATAAAATAATATTTAGATATATTTACAATCGTACTTTAAAATTTATCTAATTGTGACAAATGCGAATCTCCTATTCTCTGTCGGCCAATCTTGAACGAATTTTTTTGAGAAGTTTTCATGAGTAAATGGAACTTTACAACATACATACTTTTTATTTTAAGAAAGGACATAGGGAAAAGATGATTGCAAACAAAAAGAAACTTATCATAAATTCCAATATTGTCTAGGCATTGCCAGGATTCTGTATTTTTCTTATATATTATACATATGATGAAAGTAATTTATCATTATCCAATCAAAGAAAACATAAGACTCTATGAGAACTTTTAAATATTTAGAAATAAATATTTTATTTTAATTTTATAATATCAATCTAATGTGTTTGTGTTTTCCTCCTTCCTTTTTCTAATAACTACCCCTATGATTTAGGTATAAATTAAAACGATTTTATGTTTTAATGGAACCCTTACATAACTTAATTCTACACATCAAATTAAAAATTCATCCTATTCACACGTCACAACTCATAGAAATATTATTATATTAACTAATGAATAATTATATAATATAAAGAAAAAAAGACTAAAATTCCTTTAAAATTAGGGATAAAATATAAACGTTAAAATTGACATTAAAGAGAGAACCATATTTATTTATAGCCTTTATTTTTCCACCAAAAAAATACCCATCATCAGTTTGAATTGATGGGTCCCACTCCCAAATGACAGCTTTAGAATTAAAAAAACTCCAATGAAAGACCAATTTTGAAAAATCAAAAAGCGAGAAACAAACAAAAACAATGACAGGGGAAAAGGGTGTCCAGATTCATCCTCCGAACCCCAAAAGGAAAAAACTCAACACAAGGAATCTTCTTCGCCCAATTGCGCCCATAAATATTCCAACTCCAATTCTCCTCCTCTCTTATAAGTTAATAACTTTTATCAAACATCCCATCCCACTATCTCCGATTAATCCCTCCCTTCCATTTCGTCTTCTTCATCAATTTCTGAGTTCAGTTTCTCCATAACCTCGCTTTGAGGCCTTGGTCTCCATCTCAGATGGCGTCCATGGCGACTCGTTTCACCAAATCCTCATCCCCATTTCATTCTATTACCAGAACATCCAATCCCCATTTCGCCGCTCCGGTGAAAATCTCAATTTCTCGGAGCTCCAAGGCGAGGACCCCCCTCCGGCTCCGGGTCTCGGCCGGGTTGATCGAACCGGACGGCGGAAGGCTGGTGGAGCTTCTGGTTGAGGAGCCTCTGAGGGGTTTGAAGAAGAGGGAGGCCTTATCCTTGCCCAGAATCGAGCTCTCCAGCATCGATATCCAGTGGGTTCATGTGCTCAGCGAAGGCTGGGCCAGCCCTCTCACCGGATTCATGAGAGAATCCGAGTTCCTCCAAACGCTTCATTTCAATTCCCTCAGGCTCCCGGATGGGTCTGTGGCGAATATGTCAGTGCCCATTGTTCTCGCCATTGACGATGCCCAAAAGCACCGCATCGCCGACTCCACTTCTGTCGCTCTCTTTGACGCCAACAACAATCCCATCGCCATTCTCAAAGAGTGAGATTTCTCTACCCATTCACTTAATTCCTTATGAATCTATCTCTAATATATCTCTGCGCTATGTTTTGTATGAGCAATTCGTTGTTAAGTTTTACTTCTGTGTTAGTCTGCAAAAGAAAATAACACATGCATGTAATTCTAATTCATTTGAAGGTCAGTTCTCTAATTAGCTGAGTGAGATCTCCTACCAGAAAGAACCCCCTCTTTTTAACTTTTGACAATACTAAGATTTATACCAAGGTTCAAATATACGTAGAATTTCATCCGCATCTGTGTTTCTCTTTGTCATAATATTCCAGAGCTCAGATTTTCTCTGTTTGGAATTGGATTTCACATATTTTGTCTCTTGGGACTATACCATTGATAGCACGAGGAAGATTTTGACTATTTGTTGGTGTCGGCCTTCTGAAGATTTTGATTAACATTCACTTTGTTGGAGATCAGATTTGTTATAACCATACTTGTTTACTGTTTAGTTCCAACTCCCATTGAAGAGTATATGCTGATAGAGTCTAATAGTTGCAGTAACTTTTCTGCAGTGGTCTTTTCATACTTTCTAATAAGTTCTCTAATGTCTTGTTTGGATTTATCAGTATTGAGATCTACAAGCACCCTGAAGAAGAAAGGATAGCAAGAACCTGGGGCACCACTGCCCCAGGACTCCCTTACGTTGATCAAGCTATAACCAATGCTGGTAATTGGCTGATTGGGGGTGATTTGGAGGTTATAGAACCAATCAAGTACCATGATGGTCTGGACCGTTTCCGACAGTCACCTGCAGAACTACGGGAGGAATTTACCCGGCGAAATGCAGATGCAGTATTTGCATTCCAACTTCGCAATCCAGTCCATAACGGGCATGCTTTACTAATGACTGACACCCGCCGTCGGCTGCTCGATATGGGGTACAAGAACCCCATTTTGTTGCTTCATCCTCTGGGTGGCTACACCAAGGCAGATGATGTTCCACTTAGTTGGCGAATGAAGCAACATGAGAAGGTGCCTAATTTTGAACCATTTTTCCTACTCCTTTTGTTGATTGTACGAGGAAAGCTCTAACTTTATGAACTGCGTCGATTCTATCAGGTGCTTGAGGATGGTGTTCTTGATCCAGAGACAACGGTGGTCTCCATATTTCCATCTCCAATGCACTATGCAGGGCCAACAGAGGTGCAGTGGCATGCAAAGGCGAGAATCAATGCAGGGGCTAACTTTTACATTGTTGGCCGTGACCCTGCTGGAATGGGTCATCCTACTGAGAAAAGGGATCTGTATGATGCTGACCATGGGAAGAAAGTACTGAGCATGGCACCTGGACTGGAGCGGCTAAACATCCTTCCTTTCAGAGTAAGCTTATTTAGAATCCTCTGCCATCAAACTTGGTGAACTTAACTCGGTTAAGTAAAGGGAGTTACTCATCTATTTTGTTTCACATTCAGGTTGCTGCTTATGATAAAACTCAGGGCAAAATGGCCTTTTTCGATCCCTCGAGACCTCAGGATTTCCTTTTCATATCCGGCACCAAGGTAACTACTCACTCATATTATAATTCTAGACATTAGACTGCCATTTCCAATATAACATCAAGAACTAAATTGCTACTTTGGTAAAAAAAAAAAAAAGCACCATAAATCTTATCTTACTGTGATTTGGTTGTAAACCTGTGGTTGTATGATGCAGATGAGAACACTAGCAAAGAACAAAGAGAATCCACCAGAAGGGTTTATGTGCCCAGGGGGATGGAAGGTGTTGGTTGAATATTATGACAGTTTGGTACCTGCAAGCAATGACAGACTTCCTGAACCTGTTCTAGCTTAGGCTGCTGTATCAGGGGAAAAGTTATTAGAAATTTTAAACATACTGTGCCAGTGATGAATAAGATCATGAGGCGATGGTACAGAAGCATAATATAATTTGCCTCACTTTGTAAATTAGATGCCCTCATCGCATCTTTGGCTTTCCTACAAGACAACATATTGTGTGTAATAGTAAGTGCTTTATGTTCAGTGCTATGAAGGAGATGGGTTTGATGATGGATTTGGTTTTGAGGTTAAACAACTTTACTGAATGTACTTAATATATTATGAATTTATTTTTATATTATTCATAGGATTAATCATAACTTTGGTCCTGGATTTTTATTCATCTACCCTTAAATCTCTAAGCCACTGTTTGGCACCCTTCAAGAAAAGGAAAACAAAACCAAACATTTTTTTTTTAATAACTATTCTAGTTTTGGTTTTTTAATTTAAAAAATTAAACTTATAAACATGTTTATAACCTGTGTTTTGTCATCTACTTAAAATCAAATTTTAAAAATAAAATTTGTTTGTCTTTTAAATGTGGTTAAGAAAATAAATGTATTTTAAAAAAATGTGAAAAATATACTTAAAAAATTGATTTTAAAAATAAAATTTGTTTGTCTTTTAAATGTGGTTAAGAAAATAAATGTATTTTAAAAAAAATGTGAAAAATATACTTAAAAAATTGTGGGAAAAGAAGCATAATTTTGAAAAAAAAATTTAAAACTAAAATCGTTATCAAACAAGTTCATTCTTGTTTCTGGTTCCACATATTTTAGTCACTTTTTAATTTTAACAATTTTGTATCTTTTAAAACTTATTTTAGTCTCAAAAACTGATATGAAACTCACTTTCTCCAAACTACACTTATTCTTCCTTGTAAAAGTGAGAGTTTGAATTTCATACCTGAATAATAAATCGGGTTACATCAATAAGTATTTTATACTAGAAATTGAATGGAGTTTAATTGAAGTTAATATTTTACTAATTAATGAGTCAATATGGAGGGTAGATAAAAGTTTAAAAATTGAAATATGAATACCAAAAATTTTAAAATTAAAATGAAAAATATGTAAAAGTATAAGAACCTAAATAATATTTTTATTCATGTGTTAAACAAACTTTTGGATCCAACTCATTTGAGTTATAAATATATCTAAATTACTTCCAGAAACACAAGAAAATCATAAAAATAGCCAATGTTATATCTTCAGTAAATCAATTGTTGAAAATAAATATGGTTACCAACAACAAATTTTGATGGATCAAATACAAATAATTGACTAACTATTTTTTTGCAATCAACAATAATTAATCAAATTAAAAATCCAAAACCTACATTGTAACAGAAACAAATGGGAAAGTGCTGTCCCAATGAGTATAATCATTTCCTTTAGCAATTGTCTGCCAGGAAAGCGGACTGGTGGATAAACCCCACCATTTTCTAATCATTTTCTTAACGAGGCAAAAGCAGAACACTCCAATTATTTAACTTTTTAAAGCTGAAATCGACAGGTAGAGAACTTCATACCAAATTACTAAGATATGATGAGCTCGGCATCCCAAACGATGGAGTTCAGCCACCTTGCATCATCCACAAAGAAATCTTGATCGATCGGCCCACCTGTTCATAAACCTCCAACACAGAATGATTATATCAGTTCCCAATGGTAATTGAATCTCTAAATTTAATCAATGGTGACTCATAACATATTAGTTTGTGATGAAAAGTGAGTTTGGACCATAAATCCACTATATTATGATATTGTATAATTCAAATCTGAATAGGCATGAATTTATTTTTGAATTATACTTAAAAAATATTTTGTGACATTGCCTTTACTTTTATATTAAGGTCTTTCTCACCCTTAATCAATCAATGTGAGCTATATTTGCATTTTTAACGAACTTGAGGAACGAAAGCAGTGTGGTGCATTTACAGTTGTTTAATCAATTGATGGACTATACAATAATATAGCGATTGCAGTTCTAGTTAGCCGACCCATTAACTTTAAAAACAGAGAAAATGATGAAAATGATGGGGTATTGAATTTGTTAATGAAAGCGCAGCAAGAAGCCGCTTTACCCCAGAAATGGCAGCTCCAGTTATGTCCAGTTTGGATGTACCCTTGCTTTAAGGTTGCTTGCTGCCACGGCCTATTCCAACAAACAATACTTAAAAACTGTCTAGAAATTTTAGCTTCAAAAGCACAATCATAATGACAGATCATTCATGTGCTCATTTTAGTGGCATACTGTTGAACTTTATGTACTAAACAAAATCTTGAAATCTATAAAGCTGACGAACTATGAGCACCTGTGTCAGAGGGGAATGAGAAGTTTCAAGAGTTTGGCTGACAGATAACTCATTTAAGGCTTATGTTCTAAGCAATGTTAGTGAATTTTTTTAATCTTGTATCAATAGTCTAGCTGTCTACAACAGATGGAGCTGTCAAATATGATGATCATCATCACAATGGTAAGGAAGCCTCGAGTATAGAACCCCATTTTAGTTCAGATTTAATTCAAGCTTGTGAAGTTATACAATTGTGAGTGTTGTTTTTAAACCCCCTTAATAGCAGGATTTGTTGAGTTGAATATGGGAAATGAGATGGGAAACAATAACACATCTGAGTTTAGAGGTAAATTTGAAAGTCTGATTAGCTAGGAAGTAGTAAATGACTAGTTTATGAACATTTATTATCGTGTGTTCCGTTTTATTGATGCAGAGGAAGAGGAGAAAGCTGAAGCTCCAGAAAAATCTTTACTAGAAAGTGGGGGCAATGAAGTCAAAGCGGACGGAGTTGCAGACTTTCACCAAAAAGAAGCGAGGTCAGGTTCCAATGATGCAGATAGAGTAAATGGAGGTCATCATGTAACAGAGAGAGGTCTGGACACAATTTAAACATCATTGATTTCTGTAATTCTGTTGTATACTAATTCTAGTATTCTATAGTCTTATTCAGCCTACTTTCCTGGTATTTTATGCAGAGGAAGGGAAAAATGAAGCATTTAATACAGCAGAATTTCAAGTGATGTCTGAAAAATCAACTGACAGAACTCAAGGGGACAATGAGGTCCAGACTGAATTTAAAGATGATGAAACAATGGTGTTCGACTCAAAGGAGAATGGCTCGGATGGGAATGAATCTGGGCATGAAAAGCAGACTTCGAATCAAAAAGGTCAGCATAAGTATCCATCTCTTCCGTAGTTTAGTTTTACTTTAGTAATTCAACTGAAGAGTTTTGAACTTTACAATTAAACTTCCTAGCATAAAAACAATCGTTTTGTTTGCTCCAAACTGAAACAGAGGAAGAAGGGTTAGACAAAGGTTCCAATTTGAACACAACCATACTTCAATTAGATGAACCGGAACTTGAAAAGATTTCAGATTTCAAGAGTATTCAGAATGAATTGCCCGATACTAAAACAGAATCATTAGTAGCAGATAGCGACAAATCCTCAGAAGAATGCAAGGATGTTTTAGGATTGAGTTTGAACCACACTGACCATTCAGCAGATTGCGCCATGTCAGATTCAGAAAAAAGCACCAATATGAATCAGGGGATTGATACCGATCGAGATATGGATAAGGAGAAGGATAGAGAGAGAGGAAAAGGTTCCAACTTCAACAGGATAACACATGCATCAGATGATCCAAAATCTGAAAACATTTTAGATCTTGAGTCTACTCAGAAGGAATCTCCTGAAACCAAGTCTGAAGCAATGGTAGGATCAAGTGATGAATCCCCACAAGAAAGCAAGTATGGTTTAGAATCTAGTTTGGAACACACCGAGGCCAGCAGTTATGTTATCGACACACAAAAATCCACTAATGTGGATCATATTGGTGCGGAGACCGGCGCAGAGGTGGAGAAGGAAAAGGATGGGCTAATAGAGCCAAGGTTATGCCATGAAGATATAACGCCAGCTGCAAAAATTGTCGATACTAAAGATGAAGAAACTGAGACGGATTTGGCAAGTCATAATTCCTCTAGTTCACAATCAGATGAGAGTCTGGTGATAGAATCACCCAAGCCAGCTATGCAAGTTCCTGAGGTTGATGACAGATGCACGGTTTTGAAAGAAGAAATCCAAATGAAAGAAGAACCTTCAGGAACTGGAACAGTCGTTCAAGACAATATTCCAACTCAATTTAAGATTTCAAATGGGATCCAAGAGGAATTTAGTACGATTGGGTCACACTCCGAGAACAGTGCAAAAGAAACCGAGGTTTCTCCAGATTCTGTTATCCAGAACAAGAACCAGAACGAGGCTCCTGGAGAGGATTCCGAGGGCTCAGACGGAGAATATCTGGAAATTTATGAACAAGGTATTGCTATTTTAACTTTATCTGGTGTTGGAGATTGCAACTGTAAGAATGAGGAGATGGGCGAGGCGACAGAAATTTCAACAAACACTGGACGTGAAGCGGAAAGAAGAGAATCGGAGCAAAGTCTATCTGAACCTGTTTTAGGGTTTCAACCTCAAATCCATCTACAGGAAACGTCAATCGGATTCCAATCTGCAGAAATTACAGATGAATCAATCATAGCACCGAGGCAAGAAACCGAGACAGAAGTTGAAAAATCCAAGAGAAATCCCCCAGACTCTTCACCAGCTTCAGCAACATCCACAGAAACTAAACCATCAACAAATCCGATCGATGAACAGAGTGTAACAACACTTCCATTCTCTACATTTAGAGAAAAAGATCAAGAGACTCCAGGAAGAACAAGCAATGAATCAAATTCCGACAGTTCAATTGGTCATATAGAGATGCGTAAATCGCCTAGCTTCAACATAGATATCCAAAGCGAAGGAAGGGCAGGAGAAACAGAGAAAATTCCATTGCTATACCAAATTAAGACAATCGAAGACTTACCAAATCTGCAAGAGATCAGCTTCCCAAACCCGTCGGAGAAGCGAGTTGTGACGTTGGGAAGAAGCGATTCTGAGAAATCGAGACCTTCATTCCCAGGGTTTGCGAAAGAAAAAGAAGAAGTCCAGATGGAAATCAAAGCAATTAATCAACACAACTTAACCACCGCTAAGAAGGCAGCGGAAGACTCGCCGCCGACACCGCCGATCCGTAAAGGGAAGCGCAGAACCAAATCCCTAATATTTGGAACCTGTATCTGCTGTGCTACTGCGATTAGATGAACGGATTTTCTCCGGAGCATCCGGCATTCAAATTTTCAGAGTGGATTTCTTTCTTTCACTGATTTTTTTTTACCCTTTTTCAGTTTTCTGAGAGTGGAGATGGGCTTGGGGATTGTCAATGAGGGAGAGATAGAGAGAGGTTGGTGTTTTCCACTCAGAATCAGTATGGAAAGAGCGAGAACGCAATGATCGGCATGAAGTTCATCGCGATCTTCGCCTTCGAAAAGAAAAGATTGTTGCACTTTGTTACTGTTCGTATGAATTCCTTTTCTTCCCGCCAAAATACATTCTATCTTGTGGTTCGAATTTGACTTCATTTATGCGCTTGATTTGTTTGTTACTGGAATTTCTTTGTAAAGAGGTATATGGAATATTTTAAATATTTAACTAGCAATTTATTTGCATTTGTTATCGAGAAGTTCATCATCAGACTAGAAAGGTGAGGGAAATGAGAGAGTCTTTGACTCGATCTTCACGACCTTGAAAAATAGTATCTTCGTCCTCCAAGATTAAGTCCTCCTTATACTCTCTCAAAGCGGTCTTCTACAATTGAAAATTCTCCCTAACTAAAGTCCTAAAAAAATGGCGCAAAGATCTTTTATTCATGGAAGGACATCATTACAACGCCATGATATCATTAGTGAATGTCATGGTGTTGTCTTAAAATTGTGACAAGCGCTCAAAGTTCGTAGCACCGCGGTGCTACATGACAGCACTACGACATTGTTATTTCAGAATAAAGCCCAAGTTTCGTCTACAGGTGCACTATGGTGACTGTACGATGGCGCTGCTACACTGCTTCTTCGAATTTTTCTCCTATTTCTAACCTGCTGGTGTCGTGGTGCTATTGTGGGCGTTATGGCTCTTCTTTGGCTGAAATTATGCTTCCTTTCGTACTTTGATTTCGATTTTTCTCTCAATTAAGATCACTTAAGCTCCCATTCATTTTGATGACTTATTCCTACTAAAATATAAGTTAGGTACATAAATATACTATAGACAACAAAAAATTATCAAATAACTTCCTCTAAATGTCATGAAATGTAGCTTATAAAATACACTATCCGTTATGAAATAAAATTTTGATCCTTCCTCAAAAATAAAATAAAATTTTTGTTCAATTACAAATTAACAAATTCGTCTATCTTGAGCATCTTGGTTATGCACGCCAAATATACCAAGTAGTTGTTAATTAATTATCAATTTAGTATTTAATGTTTTAGAATTTTCAAATTATGTTGTAAACATTTTCAATTGAGCCATTCTACAACACCGCTGTTGAGAATTTCATTATTATTTTATTAATCTATTTAAAAACAAATTTACCTATTAACAAAATCCGACCAACCCATAACAAAATGTATTTATTTCAAATGGGATGTCAAACAGCATGCCTACGTCTTAAATGGTGTTCTAGATATTGGCTCCTTCAAGGCCAAACAGTGTAATGTTTTCACACTGATAAATGTGGTACATGAAATACTAGATCTGTTTTTCCCTTTTTTGTCCACATGTGTCTTCTTTGGTAGATTGGTCAACAACTGTTTTTCTTTTGAGACAATTGGTCATGCCTTATGTAACCATTCTCTCTTGAATGTAACTTTTTTTTTTCAAGAGCATGAATGAATGGTCATGCTTAGAAAGCCTAAAAACTCGTAATTATGTAGGTTTTCTCAAGATCGTAACCTTGTTAGTCTCATACTCGGTATATCTTGAATAGTACGATGAGAACATAGTTGCCCCATAAATATTATATTGAATCTTAAATAACAATAATGTAAGTTTTTATTACGGGCATCAGTTCTCCTCTGGTCCTGCAATTATATGGTATAAATAAGCACTTAGAAGATCATTTTCTTTAATTGATAGAAGTTAACGTTGATTTAAATCCCTCAGCATACGTATCAAAGAATTGTGTACTTGACATCCACTTCAAGAATAATTTTCTATGTAAACTTAAGTATACCTTAATTGGTTAGGGTAAGGTTAATTTCAACCATATCCACGTGTTGTCGATCTTAAATTACACAAATAAGTACCAGCTGCTTTTAAAAAAAAAAAAAACTTAATTAATTAGGGAAAAAAAAGAAAGAAAGAAAAAGGCTTCGTCCTCCTCGTCCTTTTTTATATTTGTATTCCAAATTCTTAGAGCCAACAATTTAATAATGCATTTGAAAATGATTTTGAGAACAATATTTTTGAATGAAACACTTTAAAAAATATATATTAAATGCTGCCAAAATATCTTATCATACATAGTCAAACAACATTTAAAAAAGTTTAAATATTTTTAATCAGAAAAGTTTAGGATATTAAAAGAAATCTCAACTAAATCTATAAAAATAATTTTGTTAGAGTGACATTCAAGTACAACTTATCCGTGATTTTTAATTATTTAGTAAAATGCAAATACGAAATCAATTAAAAATATATTACAAAATAGAATTGGATTGATGTTTCGAATAAAATTAGTGTTGGGTTGGTAAAAAGTGCAAACAAAGTTCCATATTAACTATGATCAATGATATATATACATGAAGACAATTATCTCCATTGATATGAGACCTTTCAGATGAAACTAAAATTAAATTCATGAAAATTATGTCCAAAATAAATAATATAATATTACTGGAGAGGTACTAAAATAAACTTAAATAATTATTAAATGTACAAATCAAATATTAGAAATTAAAACATATATTAGAAACTTATTAAAAAGAAAAAATAAAATAAAATTGTCTCTATCAAATTTCATTTTCAGGAACGCGTTTTTAAGTTGATTGGTTATTACATTTCTCCAAAAAAAAAAAAAAAAAGTTGATTGGTTACTACTAATTTGGATGGTCCAACCCTTATCTCTCACCCTCTCTCTCCCTTACTTTTACAACCTTATGGCATGGTCAAAGTCGATCAAAATGCACCAAATACTTTTTTTTCTCATAGAATAGACTATTATTTAAATATCTATTTTAATTTGGTTGTTATATTTTAAATATTTATGAAAGTCACGCAAGCGGAATCTCAAGAAAAAGAAACAAACAAAATTTATAGAACAAATATACTTAGTGGTTGATTCAATTTTCTAAAGTATAAAATTGAAGAAAAATACTAAATTGATTTCTATTTGAATTTGTTCTGTAATTTCCAATTAATTTGATTCAATTTTTTATCTACTTGGTAGTTAGCTTTGTCAGTTCATGTCAATCTTCGCTGTTAATTTTATTAGTAAATTAAAAAGAAATTATAGATATGAGGTGAGAGTTAAGAGATAAGAATGGAAGGTAAACCCAAAAGGTTGAACGGTAAAAAAACTTTACTAATAAAGAGGTGCTTACATTGATGAACACGGGGGAGGGGGCTAAAATGGAAAATACTACAAATTAATAATTATGTAAAAGCAGGAAATAAATGAAATTATCTGAAAATAAATGAATATGAGTAAGGCTTTTCTTGTGGCCGTTGATTAGAAGCTACTTTTTAACTATCATCATCCAACGGTCATCATCATCTTGACGAATTCTTCAAAATTGACCTGCCCATCACCGTCCAAATCGGCCTCTCTGATCATCTGCTCCACTTCTTCGTCTGTCAGCTTCTCCCCGAGATTGATCATCACGTGCCTCAGCTGCACATTATTTAAAATAATAAATAAATAAATAGAAACGTCAGTTTTTATTGTCATCCGTTAGATTCTCCACAGCCTCAAAAGTCAACCAATAATCGCAACCATTAATTTTTTATTTCCAATATTCCTTAATCCGGTGCGGAGAGGTACATGGTACAATCGTACAACACATACGGTACACTGTACTCCCCATCTCACAAATCTACCCACCCACACCCACACCCACTTCATTTTCTAATTTATTACTAAAAAAGAATAAAAAATATACATCATTTATTATTTGAATTACATTTTTTTAATATTGATTTTTTTTACATTAACAAAATAAAACATTTCAAAAATTGAGATAAAATTGGTAAGGTATGCCTAATAATTCTTGAATTTTCAATTTTTTTTATCTTTTAAGTCATTAATTTTTAATTTTATGTCTAATAAATGAGGAAAAAAAAAGGCTAATGGACTGTTTGTAGCAGGGAAAATGGGAGAGAAAATGAGAGAAGAAAGGGAAGAGAATATGTACCTCAGTAGCTGAGATGAATCCGTTTTGGTCTTTGTCGAACACTTTGAAAGCCTCTTTCAGCTCTTCTTCGGCATCAGTTTCCTGTAAAAAAAGAGAGAGAGAGAGAGAGAGAGAGAGAGAGAGAGAGAAGAAAAAGGAAAACGTCAATATTCAAACATTTGACTCTGAAATTGTCGAAACGACATGTCGTGGATGGGTTTATTGTTGTGTACTTTGATTTTCTTGGCCATCAAATTGAGAAACTCAGTAAATTCGATGGTTCCATTGCCGTCGGCGTCGACCTCCTTGATCATGTCCTGAAGCTCCTCCTCCGTCGGATTCTGATCCAACGACCGGATCACCGTCGCCAGTTCCTCAATCGTAATGCAACCTGATTCAAATTCAAATCACACAGCATATAAAAAATAGTTCAATAATTTTCTCGCTTCACAAACACTCTGTAAACTGTTAACTAAACTTAAAAGGAAATCGAATCAGAAATGGGAAAGGACTCACCGTCGCCGTCCTTGTCGAACAGACAAAAGGCTTCCTTAAACTCCACGATCTGTTCTTCGCTCAGTACTTCGGCCATGCTTTTTTTTTTCTTTCACAAGAAAGATTTTCTCGGGAAACAAACAGAGAGAGAGAGAAGAAACAGGGGAGAGTTGAGGAAGAGTTGGGGAATGGCTGAATCTGAGCTGGGGCTTATGTAGA